CTCGCATTTCTCAACCGGCAACTCGCATTTCTCTACTGGAAGCTCGCATTATTCTGCTGACAACTCGCATTTCTCTGTTTGTAACTCTCATTTCTCTGCTTGTACCTCGCATTTTTCTTCTCGCAACTTTTATTTCTCAACCGGCAACTCGCATTTCTCTACTGGCAGCTCGCATTATTCTACTGGCAACTCGCATTTCTCTGTTTGTAACTCTCATTTCTCTGCTTGTTACTCGCATTTCTCTACTCGCAACTTGCATTTCTCTACCGGCAACTTGCATTTCTCTACTGGCAACTTGCATTTCTCTACTCGCATTTCTCTACTCGTGACTCGCATTACTCTGCTAACAACTCGCATTTCTCTGCTTTTAACTCTCATTTCTCTGCTTGTAACTCGCATTTCTCTACTGGCAATATGCATTTCTCTACCGGCAACTTGCATTTCTCTACCGGCAACTTGCATTTCTCTACCGGCAACTCGCATTTCTCAACCGGCTACTCGCATTTCTCTACTGGCAGCTCGCATTATTCTACTGGCAACTCGCATTTCTCTACTCGCATTTCTCTACTCGTGACTCGCATTACTCTGCTGACAACTCGCATTTCTCTGCTTTTAACTCTCATTTCTCTGCTTGTAACTCTCATTTCTCTACTGGCAATATGCATTTCTCTGCCGGCAACTTGCATTTCTCTACCGGCAACTTGCATTTCTCTACCGGCAACTTGTATTTCTCTACCGGCAACTTGCATTGCTCTACTCGCAACTCGCATTTCGTTACTCGCAACTCGCATCTCTCTACTCGCAACTCGCATCTCTCTACTCGCAACTCGCATTATTCTGCTGACAACTCGCATTTCTCTGCTTGTAATTCGCAACTTAGGAAACGTGACACTCCTGAGATTGGGTCAGAAGAGATATGTGGCGATTTGAGTGATATAGGCATACTATTAATAGTTTCATTCGATCAGTATTACATCTGTCCCCATAACTCGGTAATACCGTCAAATATGCCAGACAAAACGTATTTAGTCACATGCATATTCGGGTTTTTATAACTATGTCATGTTTAGCATATGCTTTCATATAAAAAAAATGGAATGTTCAGATCCGGACTCGAAATGTTTGAGAAAAAACCCCACTCCTTAAGCCTACAGGTTTTTCGTTAATGTTTTTTTTTTCCCTGGTTATAAAATATGATAAACTGATCAATTGCTTATTCGAAGCATTTTGATACGTCATGAAGAGGTAAATGAACAATTTTGAAAAACGGTAATTAAAGTAATATTAACAATTCTTGCTGGCCCGGATGTCAGCGTGCGGGCGTCTTGGTGTCGGTGGAGACTGGAGAACCTGGATATTAACCACGTTGTCGGGAAGGTCACCCTATACCTGTTCACATTCGATCGGGGAATCGAACCCCGGCCGCATTGGTTAAATGTGATAGCGTTATTCACTGCGTCACCCGATATCAAGGTAAGTGAATTATTACGATATACCGACATTTGATATGTATTAAAGCCCGTCTGTGATCCATAATTCACGTGACTGTAATGTCGTGCTGACTATAATAAGTTTACTAGGTAATAATGTAGCCTTATCTCTGTGCCTGATAATGCCCACTGCCTACCGTACTTACTCTACTTAGCGAGGTTGTCAAATTGAAGCGTCACAAATAACAACTGAATTATCAAATACTTTCACATACAGGGTGATGCAGTAGAAAAAAGTAGTAGAACAGCAAAGATGGATACGTTCACGCAAACAGAGAAGACCGTTAACCCAACTGTTGCAACCGGTGTTATCTGTAATATGCTGTCACCATTATTCCTAAAGAAGACCCAAAGAAAAATCCCGATAAGGCACTTTTCCCCCTAACTCTATTATTTAACATGGATATTTTGTCTTTCCTGAAACTTTGTTGTACAACCTGTATTCCTAAAGAGGATCCAAAAAAATCCCGATTAGACATTTTGTTCCATAAATTTCTTATTCATATGATCGTACAGTGGGTCCCTGGAACATGCTCAGGATTTATTTATATGTTCCTATAGAGGACACAAAGCAACATTCTGATAAAGCAGTTTCCCCATAAGCTCGTACAGTGGGATACAACATGCATGTTTGTTCTTTCCTAGAACCTGCACAGGGTTTGTTTAAATCTAGTATTCTAAGAGAGAACACAACGAAAACACCGATAAAGCAGTTTTTCCCCATAAGTCTGTTCATATGATCATGCACTGTCCCGAAACCTGTACAGGATTTGTTACAGTAATGTTTTACAGGAAGACTGATGTCCACATACTGCCTACATGTTTGCACTATCCCGAAACCTGTACAGGATTTGTTACAGTAGTGTTTTATGTGAAGACTGATGCCCACATACTGGTGTAAGACAGGGTCACCCAATGGTCACTTCACTGAAATGTTTTAAACGGTTAGATGACACTCCACTAAGCTGAATGATTCTGTGAGAGTTTTCAAATCAATATCTAAATGAAAAAGACATTCACCGCCCGGTTAACTTAGGGCAATGACTGAATCTGCTTTAACCCAGTTATGAAGTAAATGCAGCACCTACATGTCACTCCAAACTGATTCAAATATACTAAAGGTATGCATTTTAAACAGATTGCATGCTTCTCGTACTGGTCCACTTCACTGATGATGGACGATTTTTAAAAACTTCAAATATTGACAGTAATTGTCTCCGAAACATAAATAAATAACTGCATTATAAGTGAAACGATGCAAGCGTTTGAAATCCGTGCAGGCTCAACGAAGTAATTATATGCCTGCTGTATCCCCACTGTATGATCGTAAGAGGCTTTTGTGTTTTCTTTCTTTTCTATCTACTTTCTCTCCCTGGTCGTGTCTCCCTAGATACCCGTCCACATATGATTGGATTCCAGGTAAAATTCCCATTTTCTCTGTCGACCTAAATACAGTTTTACAGGTAAACGTCACATCACACGATCTAATATTGCAAACTAATAGATACACTATCAGCATGTTTGTCTTTTCGTTTAAAGCAACTTTTACTGCATGATGTCTGTCCATGCGAAAAGTGACTTTTTATATACCATTGGTGGTTTACTGTCTAAAGGATTTTAAAAATAAGACTGCCTTCAAAATTAGGCCGGATTCGAAAAAGGAGTCTGGGATTTCTTTGTCCAAATGAGAATAAACAGCGGCTTATTATAGACATTTTATTGTAATTTTGGTAAGAAAGCACACTTATAGATATTTACGATAAAGTTAGCACATTTGTTTATGAAAAAAGGCGTAAACTTAGTATAGTTTGTGCGAGTAAGGTAAAATGAGCACAGTTATTAATGGAAAATAACGTAAAGATAGCACAGCCGTTCACGGTAACTACGGTAACACAAGCACAGTTACTGATAATATCGTAACTTTAGCACAGTTGTTCATGGGGAGCACGGTACTATAGCACAGTGTATAGAAAATATGATGAGGTTTGCATAGTTGTGAAGTGTAAATATTAAATAAGCACATTTCATGATGGGTACGTCTTTATAAGACAATCTACGCCCTCCATCACTGGGTCGTGGGTTCAAGGCCCTGGGCTGTAGGTCGTGGGTTTCCTCTTTGTACTCCGATTTCCGTCGACCACCAAAAGTTTGACTCTTCCTTCAATAGCTGCTATTTAAGGATTGGTTGTCATATTTTTGACACGCATTGGTGTGTAACATACATTGGCATACCTACATATTGAATGGTGCGCGCTAGCGCACCATGTTAAATATGTAGGTAAGCCAATCACATCAATGCATGTCAAAAATATGACAACCAATACTTATATTTACATTTTATGTTGATCAACTTACAGTTCACGCAGAAATAAAGACATAATATTAGTCTGAACACGTTTTAACGTCAGGGTAAATCCATACAGAGAACAGCCACCAGTTGACAGTGGAGCAGTTCAATCTCCAACGTTTCAGTTATGACGTTATAAGCGTAGCGACGTTATAATGGCCCAATGTATATTATAAGGAAATAACATACATTGGACCAAGTAGAACCATCTAGGCTACGTGCAGGGGAAATGTAAATATTAGGACGTAAAACACAATCAAAGCAAACCAAACAGATAATGGCAGAAACTGTAAGATTAGCACAGTTGTATGGTAAATACGTTAAAGTTGGCACAGTTAAGTGTCAATAGTACGTAATGACAGTTACAGTAGAATCTTTAACTTAAGCACAGTCGTTGTTTATTAAATACGGTAAATTTAGCATAATGTAAATGGAAGGAATTGTAACGTAAGCACAGGTTTGGTATGGTTTATACAGTAAAGTTGGCACAGTTAAGTGTAAGCATTGTTAAGGAAGCACGGCTAATGGTAGTATCTATTATTTCAGCACCGTCGTCGTAAGGTAAATACGGTAAAGTTGGCACAGTTTAGTGTCAGTAGAACGTAAGGACAGTAATAGTAGAATCTTTAACTTAAGCACAGTCGTTGTTTGTTAAATACGGTAAATTTAGCATAATTGTTAACTGAAAAAAATGTTAAGTAAACACTGTTAATGGAAGGAATTGTAACGTAAGCACAGGTTTGGTATTGTTTATACGGTAAAGTTAGCACAGTTAAGTGTAAAGATTGCTAAGTAAGCACGGCTAGTGGTAGTATCTATTATTTCAGCACCGTCGCCGTATGGTAAATACGGTAAAGTTAGCACAGTTAAGTGTAAAGATTGCTAAGTAAGCACGGCTAATGGTAGTATCTATTATTTCCGCATCGTCGTCGTATGGTAAATACGGTAAAGTTAGCACAGTTAAGTGTAAAGATTGCTAAGTAAGCACGGCTAATGGTAGTATCTATTATTTCAGCGACGTCGTCGTTAGGTAAATAAGTTAAAGCTAGCACAGTTAAGTGTGAAGATTGCTAAGTAAGCACGGCTAATGGTAGTATCTATTATTTCAGCTACGTCTTTGTATGGTAAATACGGTAAAGTTAGCACAGTTGTTACAGGTCAGTGGTAAGGTATTTCATTCATAGACGACATAGATAACACATGTAACGACCAGGAAGGTTAGGAGTGTCCAACGGTGTCAAACTAGCAAAAAAATGAAAGACGGAAATTCTCACTCCATTTTCATCGCCATTTTCTGTATCTTTCTCACTCATTTAGCAGCTTTCATTGCTCTGTCCGTCTACCAGATCGACCGGATTAACAAGATAGAGGAGCTCGTCCTGGACGTCGAGGTATTGTTTTATTAATAATTTTTTTATATAAAAGGAATAAAAAGTCTGTGTTGATGGCTGTACAAATAATAGAAATGCAAATTAGCATACATTGAAATAAAATATGCAGTAAAGCGGTTTGGATCCTAGAGGAAATAATATTTTGCAATCCTATTTTTTTTATATCTCGATAATTTAAATCTGTTATATTGCGTTACTCAGATGTAAATTTATTTCAATGAAATATTTTGTTTTTGTTAATCTGCAGTTTTATTTCCCTTTGTTTCAGCAAATATCATAAATAAAACTGATGAGTATTGCTTTATATATGAAAATATAAATATTACATATCATTATGTCTATCGTGTCCTTAAATGACCCAAAATAGCTAGAAACCAAACCATGAATGCTTTATAATGTTTTATAGATAGATATACATAATAACGCTATTATGTTTTATTTTAATCTTTTCAGGATGAAAACATATTGTAATAAAATGAACCCCATGGTCAGTTGATACTTACTTAAAAGATTTATTATAATTGTTTAAAGAGAATATTCATTCAACAAAGACATTGAATACATTTCCAGATCACATGACAAATATGTCATGTAGGGATGGCCCATAGCAAGTGCAAGACACATGAACTACCGTGACAGGAAGTGTAAGGTATATAGTGTGTAGGTGGGAGATAACCCCTGTGTACCGTATACATGTCATTGTCTTACAAGTTTCTTATTCAGATACAAGTTCGTATAATAGTACTTATATATTGCAAAAGTCACTAACGCCCCTTACACAAACGTGATCACCCCGCCCACATCAAAACTCCCTGAAACATGTGGGAATGTCAAGGATATCTAATAAGAAATTAATTCACCAGCGGTCACTCAATATATGAAGGTATGAGGCGATTATTCAGGGCTACCATTCGGTATTGGGGATTTCCCCCGTGTTCGAGGACTTTCATCTCAATTGTTGCTGTATGATGTGTCGATGTTGTGAATTTCCGTATGTCTGAAATAAATATATAAAATTACTATTGAGTGATGCTACCTTCGGTTGCCATATTTGTGATGTGATCTGGAAATTTTATTTGCAGTTTTGGAAGGCATAACGCACAAACAATCAAAGTATCCCCTCTTAACAGTCCAATAATCTGATTTCGTAGATTTACAGCCTATGTTCATGAACAAAACTAGTAAGATATGTGTAGAGCATGCATGCGTATATGTATGTGTGACTGCGTGTGGTCATGCATGCCTATGTGCGAAGGTATACATGCATGCGCGTATGTATGTATGTATGTATGTATGTATGTACGTATGTATGTATGTATGTATGTATGTATGAATGTATGTATGTATGTATGTATGTATGTAGGTATGTATGTATGTATGTATGTATGTATGAATGTATGTATGTATGTATGTATGTATGTATGTATGTACATTTGTATTCATGTATGTTATGTATGTCTGTTATATATGTATGTATGTATGTATGTTATATATGTATGATAAGTATGAATGCATGCATGCATGTTTGTGTTTATGTTTATGTACACATGTAACTGTGATACTATGTATTACGACAAAATGTATATGTTTTTGTCTATGAAAAAAAATCAATAAAAAAAAAAAAAAAAAAAAAAAAAAAAAAAAAAAAAAGGTATGTGTAGAGCTGTCCGTAAACAAACCATAAATAGTGTTCCGTCCCTCAACCTGGCCTTCATCTTCAGATTCCTGGGTGGAATTAAAGATTCTGTAGCCCTAAGATCAAATAAGTAGTTCTGTATTTGAGAACCTCGTGATTGCTTCTGTTTTAAAGTTCTCCAAATGATGCCTTCTAATCAGATACTCAAACTCACAAGAACAAACTTAGGTCTGGCAACAGTTTGAATCTCGGCTTGAACAAATATTCTTAACCGACAAATCAAATAAAAAACAGTAAATAAAGCTCATATAATTATACCTGTTTCAGAGATCTCCAGATGAAAGTATACAGATTAAAGACTTTATAGATATCCTGAAGAAGCAGCAAACCAATGGGAAGGTTTCTAAGCGAAGTGTGTTACCAAGCCCGATGTTATCGGATTTTGTGGATGCCCAGGTATCGTATCTTATATGATCTACACTGTCCTTCCAGTGAATTCTCACCACTGGTCTCGGCACAACGTGACCGGAAGGAATGGCGTGCTATGTGTGATACTTTATAGTGGCTACATAGACTATTTGTCCTTAAATTGTGTTACATGACCTTACATGTTATCATTTGACCTTAACTGATATCACCTGACCTTAGTGTTTGCCACGTGACCTTAAAATTAGTCACATGACCGTAACTGATATCACATGACCTTGGTGTTGGTAAGGTGACCTAAGCGTTTGTCACATGACCTTTACTGATATCACCTGACCTTAGTGTTTGTCACGTGACCTTAACATTTGTCACATGACCTTAACTGATATTACATGACCTTAGTGTTTGTCATGTGACCTTAACATTTATCACATGACCTTTACTGGTATCACATGACCTTAGCGTTTGTAACGTAACCTAAGCGTTTGTCACATGACCTACACATTTTTCACTTGACATTAACCTTTGTCACATGAGCTTAGCCATTTTTATATAAAATGTACTTGTGTTAAATGGCCTTACAAATCGTTCTCTCTTTTCCTGAAAAGGATTTGTGAGGGGGAGGGGCCATGATCTGCTTACATTCTGTTCTTAAATGATTGATATTACATAACATGATTATACATTAATACATTGATTGTGTCCATGCTATTGTCATGAGCGGAAGTATCAAATACCAATAATATCTTTGTCTTTGACAGAAAAGCTTCATAAAAGCAACATGTGAAGAAAATAGCCAGGCAAGCATACTGACTGTTCTGAAATCGTTCGCTGAGTTTACGAACCAGCGGCTTCAGCTGAAGGGCCAGTTCAGACACATCCGACAGGCAGCTTCTGGTGGTGAGATGGGTCAGATCTTTGAACAACTCGCTAACTCTGAGGTAAAATTATCCCCCTTTTCTTTTTCTCTTTTTCGAGCTTAGAAATAGAAGAAAAAAATGAGTATAATAAAGCGATAATATTTTCTATATATTATCAATAGCTTTACTAATAAAGCAGTGTTTCAAAGTATAGATATAACACGTGAAACACGTTTCGCTGATTGTATATGTATACACAATGCACACTGCAAAAATGCAAATTTTTCTTGTACTCATCCGTTCAGAGGAATATCCCTAGGTACCTTTGGTTTGCTCATTATCAGAATAAATGGTCAAGTTGAGAGTCATGCTACAGTATTCATGTTATGAAATCAGAAATCGTATAATGAAAAATATATATCGGAAAGGTGTTATGTGAATTGCCCCGTCGGAAACTATAATGTCTTGTGTTTTTGTTGTCACTTTCCGAGTTCTCGATAGGAGCACGTTACATTACGTGGTTTTTACCTTTATTCGAATGGCGGGTGTCGACGATGAAGCAGTAGGAGCGGTTTTGAGTTCGAATTATGCATGTTTTTGTTGATACTTCGATATTTTCTTGTTTTGTTTAGTGTATCTTCATGCTTTTATAGTATTTTACATGTGATTTCGGGCTGAACTCTGGCGCGCGCCCTCACCTTCGTAACTCTTAAAAGTTCCGTTATCGTCAAATGTATAGTAGCCGATAGAATGGGAGGGAAGGCATCTTCGATATAAAATAATTACTTGCATATGAAACAGATGATGTTTGTCTTCATACTTTCAGCTCGCAATTTTCGACAAGTATTGTCAGAACAGTACCATATGTCTACCAGGTAAGTTTATGTTTCACATTTCACAACATTCGAAAAAACGCCTCATAAAATGTGAGGTTAACGACATCGTATTTCCAAATGTACGATACTCTCGGTTCGATTTGGTTTCATTCGATAATTAGTGCCATTGTCAAAGCCATATACATTTTACCTTAGTCGAGAGAGCTTTAGTCATTTCTATGAGAATGAAACCCGAGTGAAACATGATTAATATCGAGGGGAAATAAATAATTGTGTTTCCCTACCATAATGGTAAGAAATATGTTATAATGACAAACACAGCAGTGAAGATGATAAGTCTTCCTCGCCGTTGTTGGCGGCGTCTGCTTCAGTCACTCAGAAGTCAGGTCTTTCGTTAGACAGGCACCGATTAAGGGCATTATGACCGGAAAACTCGAGCGTGAAAGGAAAACAGGCACGCTGTTATATATAAGAGGTATACTTAACATTGCTGTACGCTGAAATTATTGTACACCGAGTGTGATCCCCCTAGAACATTGTACATATATTAACTATATCCAGAAAAGGCAATAGAACATTTATGTAGCCACGACCGCTTCAAAGAGGCAGCCATCTTGAGTTTGAGTTTGTTATCTTTATTCCTTGAGAAATGCTTATCAGATCTTTTTCATATTTGGTATGTATTACTTAACATATCTAATCTAGGTCCGAAGGGAGACCATGGTGATAAAGGTGATCCCGGGGTCAAAGGTGACGCTGGATCTGCTGGCGCACAGGGTATGAACGGATTGAAAGGTCAGCATTCTACCTTCTTTGATAAAACATTTTCATTACAGAACTAAGTCATACAAATTATTATTGGTTACTATGTGTCATTCATACATGTACTGTAATACATTTACAATTAAGATACTGTAATACACCTACAACTAAGATACTGTAATACACCTACAATTAAGATACTGTAATACACCTACAATTAAGATACTGTAGTACATATACAATTAAGATACTGTAATACACCTACAATTAAGATACTGTAATACACTTACAATTAAGTTACTGTAATACACCTACAATTAAGATACTTTAATACACCTACAATTAAGATACTTTAATTCACTTATCTTAAATGAGCTATAATTAGATAGCTTTATACATTATGATTTGTAAGCGTTATATATTACAATTAGTGAGCTTTATATTTTATAATTAGTTAGATTTATATATTAATAATTAGTTAGCTTTATATATTATAATTAGTAGGAATGATTAATGGATAGGAATAACGTGTGTTTGTTTTTAATTTAGAACATGATGTTATAAAATGTGATATACTATAAATATTTTCTTTCAAATGAATTTGTGTTTGTCGATATGATATACTAAATATTTATTTTTTGTTAATATGATACACATTGTGTAAGATTTCTGTAGGAATTATAACCATATTGGATGAATACTGTCGATATGAAATACATACCTAATGGCCTTTGTAACCACGACATGCGTGGTTAATGATTTGTGTAAAAATTATTTACGAAGTTAATAACTTTCTTAAACATGATATAATTTGGTAGTATTCTGATAATTATTTCCATAACGAGTCGCCTAGTTTAGGGTTCAGTGGTAATTTAATTTTTCTCTCACAACAGAGTTGGTTGGATACTGAAATAATGTTGTCTGTCTGTCTGTTCGTTTCCCGTTAGCCTGTCTGCTCCGTCAAAAGTGTCGTTGCCAACTTCGTGAAACTCCACTGATGTAGTCACCATATCCTGATTTGTGTACCTGTGCTTATTTTGTTATTCCGTCTTTGCGTATTGCAGAGTTATCTTCTCTTGTGAGCAGGTTTTGATTGTTTCGTCATTTGTTTTTTAGAGGAACGTCATTAATTTTTGAGAAAGCGACACAATTTTCTCACGCAAACCAATGACGTAACAATCAATTCCTGCTCACAAGAGAAGATAACTCTGCAATACGCAAAGACGGAATTGAAGTTGTGCCCATTTTACAAAACTATAAGCCAAATATTGTCCGGTCAACTACTAAAACAGCCTTTATCTTGTGTTCCCGACACTGGGCCGCTACAGTCAGAGCAACCTAAACCTGAAGTCGTTCAGATGGACACAGCTTTTCTCTTCCTTTTTCTTGGAGTAATTTTTCCTTTTGCGAAACATTAAGCCTGGTCCTTACCATATTGGTTAACATCTGCATGATGTCCAAAATAAGGCCCATGCAACTCTTATGAAAAAAGCTGCATATTGCAATCACATGATATAATTGTACATTGGAATGAATTCATTTCTGTATTTTATTCCAGGGAGAGAGTGTATAATTTATCATATGGCTTACAGTTCTAACTGTAATATATTCTAAACGGTTCCTGTTGTTGCTTTTTCTGATTGAAACTTGTCATTGTCAACATCAGTTTGAATTATTTCCTGATTTCCCCAGGTGATGTAGGACTACAGGGTCCCGAGGGAAACCAGGGACAAGTGGGCGCGCAGGGAGTACAGGGTGACAAAGGCTCAATAGGTCCTCAGGGAGTTATGGGACCTGCAGGAGCGCAGGGCCTTATTGGACTTACAGGATCTGACGGACAGAAAGGGGTTCCAGGAGTAAGGGGTCTACCAGGTCCAGCAGGACCCTCTGGACTTGATGGAGCTACTGGACTAAAGGTTAGTTAGGATGTTTCACAGTTCAAACATTATTCACAATAGTTATAACTTATTAATCAATGAATTTATTTATTTATTACAACACCAAATGTGATGAAATGGCACATCATTTAAAGTCTATTCATCGAATGATGGATACATTCTGTCCTGCACAGCAACAAAACAGGTTCTAAAGCACCATCTTATAGCAGTATAATTCGGCGGGGTGAAATTTCCGCGATTTCGCGGGTTAATAACGTGACCGCGAGAATATGACCCACATAAAAATATGACAAGCGTAAAAATGAACCTCGACAACAAACTTAGTACCGCGATGTCGGAATGAAATAGCGAGATGTTCGAAAATAGATTATATCACACATCCATTTTGTTGAGGATTCTTAAATGAAAGTCACTTATTTCTTGTTGTTTGATATGCTTCAATACAGTCTATTCATTTGACTTTAAGACACTTTATCCCGTCTCTGTATTGAAACACCTCGAACATTAGTTCCTCCATATGTCCAGATCGCGACATGATTAAAAATGATTTCCTTAATTTCGGGTCAAAATCGCGCTAACATACAAGTCGCCGCAAATAGCCCGTTATACGATATGCTGTGTACTTAAATAACATCAATACAAAAACGTGGAATTGTTCTACGGTACATAACACTGATCATATCGTCTAGACATCATCACAAAGTGTCGACGTTGAAATCACTTTACTTATTTTCTACATTACATCGCTTTTGTATAACAATCTATGTTTGTACGTAGGGAGACAAAGGAAACGTTGGTCCCCAGGGGCCGGGGGGACAACGTGGTATACAGGGGCCTGCAGGACCTAAAGGCGAGCGCGGGGAGGTCCGTGACGTGCTCACTCAGGTGGACGACGTGAACTCCTGCTGTGAAAGACTATGTAAGAAATCATCCTCGACCTGTTGCAACTTACTACTGATTTACCTTTATTATTATTAGTACATGCTCTACGCCCCATCAACACAGGAGAGGTCATTAGGGCCAACAAATGGTCGACAAAAACAAATGCTAAATGAAAACATCGACCAATACGTAAAGGTAAAAGACAAACGTCAAGTTCCATATTGAAAATTGCTATATTTAGTCATATTCTATTAAAATCATCGACAGTTTTAAGAAAGAAAATTGCAGAGACAGTTATTTTTTCGAAAAGATGTTTAAGACATGTAAAGCTATTACAGAACATTTTTAGAGTTGTTTGGAGGTCGACGCAATCTAATAACAAGTGTTTTACTGTAAATGGTCTTTGATACGCTATTCATTGAGGCTGGTCTTCAATGTATGTCGTATGTTCAAAATGTTGATGAGTGTTATGTACAGAGTTATGAACATTTACCATACCTGGTAAAATCAACATGTGCCTAGCATTACTTTGATTTTCAGTATATATTAGGTTGTTAACCAAAACGTACTTTTATAATAAACTAGACCTCATTATGATGAAAATGGCAAAAGTTTAACTGAAAATTTCGCGGTATATAGCTGCTTTATATTCAATTGAGTTAATTATAAAAAACATAGCCTGCGTCTTTAAATTGAAACGGACCTCTAATCTTGAGTTTGATAGTGAGTTTCTTCAGTTAAACCAAAGAAAAATAATTGGTGTGACAGAAACATTTCCCAATCGAGGGGTAAATGGTTTAGTCTTCTAGCCTAAAGTTGTGTGACAGAGAAATATCCAACCCGACTACATAAAAAAGGAATTAGAAGATATAGACTTTTAATATGACAAAGGAAAAATGAAATATACAAAGAGACCAGAAGGTTTAGACTTAAAAAAGTGAAAAAATATAGAATGTAAAAGAATTTCAAAGATATAGACAATATAAAGTACCTAGACAAAATAAACTTTAATTAGTAAAAAGGACCTTACGCCTAAAGTATACATGTATATAATAGTATTGCAAAAAAAGAGACTATAAATAATACATAGAAATTACTTTAAAAAGAACACGGGAACTTTTAACATTATACAGCCAATATAGAGAATTAATATCAATTTAATACAAGTTAATAATACACAAAAATGTATGAAATAACTTGCATTAATATTATTAGTTTCTCTGGTAATATTTTCGAATTTTTAACTAAGTGTTGTAAAAAAAGTATTTTTTAATATTCTTTTTTTAGCTACTCCGAGCTTTGCCTCTACACAGGAGAAGATAAAGGTGATTGAGGGTACCCCTGTAGTACTCAGATGTGACCCTAATGGTCTTCCCACACCAACAGTGCAATGGACGCCTTCTGCCACATCTATTGGTACCAAGCATGCGCAGAGACAGGGAAGGGACATCATAATCGGCAACGCTGCCGCCGGTGATAGCGGGACTTACCAGTGTACTGCTAACAACGTCTTAGGAAAGGCCCAGAAGGAAATCGTACTAGACGTCTATAGTATGTATAGGCCATACATGAAGTAAAGCAACAATATTCCAGTGTCATTCTATACTAGTTTCCTACCGACTCGGCTAGAGTGGTTTCCTTTTTTACTCATTCGGTAGAAAATAGGACTAGTAAACCAGAGGTTCCGAGTTCGAGCTCTAACGGAAGTGTTGACAACATAATAATCTCTGTTACACTTGTTCGATTAAGATCTTTTGAATTTATTATAGTGTTAACAGTTCAAAGTTCACGGTAACATACTTGTTATAATAATGACGAGGTTATCATCTGTGTTCGCTTCGTGTAAGCAAAGACAAGATTTACATGTTCTATATATATATTAACCGAGATTCACGTTTTACAACAGAACACATCGTTATAGAGGAACGACCCCGGAACTTTACAGTATTAAATGGACAATCAGTTACACTGGAATGCAAATTCGACGGGAAACCTGTCCCCTCTGTCTCGTGGTTTCACAAGAACCAATTAGGAATCTCTGAAGCAGTGACATCGGGGATCACACCTATCGTAAACGGCTCCCAGCTCCACCTCGACCATGTATCCCTCTCTGACATCGGGGAGTATATCTGTTATGGAACCAATGGAGTGGAAACCATCGACCTTCACGCCTTCGTAGATACTCAAGGTCAGTGATAGAACCAGAAGAGCGAAACAGCTGTATAATTCAGTGTGATTCATTTCTGGCTCACTGTATCTTATACCAGGTTGTAGAGGTGCAATAATCTGCGTGTGCATTGCGTTCATTATTCCCTAAGGTTATTTGGAAAATTAGTAGATATTTGCTGTTTTAATATTATTTTAGGCTTGTCTTTTCGCAGTTTATGCGTTTGTATTGCTTTATATGTATTACTGTCGTCGCTATGTTCAACATTGATCGTATACGACTTTAAATAGAGTGACTTGTGGAATTGATATTGTTTCTTAGAGGGCCTTGCGGTTTTGACATTGTTGCCTAGAGTGCCTTGTGGTTTTGATGTTGTTCCTTAGAGTGCCTTGTGGTTTTGATATTGTTCCTTAGAGTGCCTTGTAGTTTTGTTATTGTTCCCTCGTGTGCTTTGTGGTTTTAATATTGTTCCTTAGTGTGCCTTGTGGTTTTGATATTGTTCCTTAGTGTGCCTTGTGGTTTTGATGTTGTTCCTTAGAGTGCCTTGTGGTTTTGATGTTGTTCCTTAGAGTGCCTTGTGGTTTTGATTTGTTCCTTAGAGAGCCCTGTGTTTTTTATATTATTACTTAGAGTGACTTGTGGTTTTGATATTGTTCCTTAGAGTGATTTGTGGTTTTGATATTGTTCATTAGAGTGACTTGTGGTTTTGATGTTGTTCCTTAGAGTGACTTGCGGTTTTGATATTGTTCCTTAGAGTGCCCTGTGTTTTTTTATATCATTACTTAGAGTGACTTGTGGTTTTGATATTGTTCCTTAAAGTGACTTGCGGTTTTGATACGGTTCCTTAGAGTGCCCTGTGTTTTTTTATATTATTACTTAGAGTGACTTGTGGTTTTGATATTGTTCCTTAGAGTGACTTGTGGTTTTGATGTTGTTCCTTAGAGTGTCTTGTGGTTTTGATGTTGTTCCTTATAGTGCCTTGTGGTTTTGATATTGTTCCTTAGAGTGTCTTGTGGTTTTGATGTTGTTCCTTAGAGTGACTTGCGGTTTTGATATTGTTCCTTAGAGTGCCTTGTGGTTTTGATATTGTTCCTTAGTGTGCCTTGTGGTTTTGATGTTGTTCCTTAGAGTGCCTTGTGGTTTTAATGTTGTTCCTTAGAGAGCCCTGTGTTTTTTATATTATTACTTAGAGTGACTTGTGGTTTTGATATTGTTCCTTAAAGTGACTTGCGGTTTTGATACGGTTCCTTAGAGTGCCCTGTGTTTTTTTATATTATTACTTAGAGTGACTTGTGGTTTTGATATTGTTCCTTAGAGTGACTTGTGGTTTTGATGTTGTTCCTTAGAGTGTCTTGTGGTTTTGATGTTGTTCCTTATAGTGCCTTGTGGTTTTGATATTGTTCCTTAGAGTGTCTTGTGGTTTTGATGTTGTTCCTTAGAGTGACTTGCGGTTTTGATATTGTTCCTTAGAGTGCCTTGTGGTTTTGATATTGTTCCTTAGCGTGCCTTATGGTTTTGATATTGTTCCTTAGTGTGCCTTGTGGTTTTGATGTTGTTTCTTAGAGTGTCTTCTTGTTTTGATATTGTTCCTTAGAGTGCCTTGTGGTTTTGATATTGTTCCTTAGAGTGCCTTGTGGTTTTGATATTGTTCCTTAGTGTGCCTTGTAGTTTTGATATTGTTCCCAAGAATGCCTTGTGGTTTTGATATTGTTCCTTAGAGTGCCTTGTGGTTTTGATATTGTTCCTTAGTGTGCCTTGTAGTTTTGATATTGTTCCCAAGAGTGCCTTGTGGTTTTGATATTGTTCCTTAGAGTGCCTTGTGGTTTTGATATTGTTCCTTAGTGTGCCTTGTAGTTTTGATATTGTTCCCAAGAATGCCTTGTGGTTTTGATATTGTTCCTTAGAGTGCCTTGTGGTTTTGATATTGTTCCTTAGTGTGCCTTGTAGTTTTGATATTGTTCCCAAGAATGCCTTGTGGTTTTGATATTGTTCCTTAGAGTGCCTTGTGGTTTTGATATTGTTCCTTAGTGTGCCTTGTAGTTTTGATATTGTTCCCAAGAATGCCTTGTGGTTTTGATATTGTTCCTTAGAGTGACTTGTGGTTTTGATGTTGTTCCTTAGAGTGACTTGCGGTTTTGATATTGTTCCTTAGAGTGCCCTGTGTTTTTTATATTATTACTTAGAGTGACTTGTGGTTTTGATATTGTTCCTTAGAGTGACTTGCGGTTTTGATATGGTTCCTTAGAGTGCCCTGTGTTTTTTATATTATTACTTAGAGTGACTTGTGGTTTTGATATTGTTCCTTAGAGTGACTTGTGGTTTTATTGTTGTTCCTTAGAGTGTCTTGTGGTTTTGATGTTGTTCCTTAGAGTGCCTTGTGGTTTTGATATTGTTCCTTAGAGTGACTTGCGGTTTTGATATGGTTCCTTAGAGTGCCCTGTGTTTTTGATATTCTTCCTTAGAGTGACTTGTGGTTTTGATATTGTTCCTTAGTGTGCCTTTTGGTTTTGATGTCACTATCTGAGTTGTCGATGTGAGGACGTGACATTATTTGAATTCGACTAAGATTTATTTGGCGGGATTCACCTATGATACAAAAGACGCCTATCCTTCCGGAACACCTGTCATTATTCTCTTTGTACTCTTTTCAGAGTATCGATGCAGATATTTCCTTGGTTCATACTTTTTCTTATTTTTATCGATTTCTAGTTCGAATTATGGTCTTGTTGACACTGCTTTTGTGGTTAGGGTTAGGGTTAGGGTTCCTTGCTAGTTTCAGGATGAAAACAAATTTAATTGTATCAGTTATTTTCATCAGGTCCCCCAAAGATCATCAACATCCCTGTGATGCAGACCTTTGTAGGTGAGACACTCCATCTCCGCTGTGACGCCCAGGGTAAACCACCAGCAACCACCTCCTGGCTGACGCCGGTATGCTTAAAGCTGTTACAGAGATGCTGCTTTGTTTTCTTTGTCGTTACATTTTTATATCTGCAATCTAAGAATTATTATTTTGTCATTTCTTATTTCGCTATTCTATGAATACCTCTATGCTATCAATCATCTTATTTATCTGATATTTGACTAAAATAGCCCTACAGCGCCATTACATATTGTCCTTGTTGATATTGTATACACTGTTGAAATAGAAATTATTAAGAGTAAGATAAGAGTACACCAATAGAGTGCTGATGTATGGTTTGGTGTTGAATCAAATCCATTGTTATCATCTATATACTACTTAATACCACCAACCGGTAGCATGATCAATTCATTATTATGGGTTGTCAGTATGAGAATACTCAAGAAGAATGTGACAAAAGCTTGAGAACAGCTTGAGAATGTTTTTTCCCATTTCCCAGCTTTGGGAACGTATTTTCTCAAAAATGAAGGTCTGCTCGCGCAAGGTGACGTCCTAAACCGGAAATGGTATTCACACAAAATGAGCAGCGTAAGAAAAAAGTTCGTCATAATCAAATCAATAGAAAATTACGAAAAAATATTTTGATAATACCATTTTAAGCGTAAATGTGCATAATTATGGAAAAGCCAATGACGGTACGATTGTTTGCAATATCCTTTTTCTACATAGTTTTGCGGTTCATAGTGTTCCTCCGCGCAAACCGTCTATTTGTTTACGTTTGTCACAGACCGAGTATTGCGATCGGTGACTATTGAGCATTGAAGTAATTTGGAAAATATAGTGTTTAGTAAACGTTTTTAAATGGAGAAATATATAAGGTAGAAGGATATTGACGATAAACAGTTTATCACACATTATTTTCAGTGTCTGTCTTTCGAACAATTTTCTCATCGCTCGCACGTGGATAAAAAATCGAGTCCACCTGCGATGGCCTCTCGATTTTTGTCCACGTGCTCGCGATGAGAAATTTGTTCTTGCGAAAACCCCTGAAAGCACAGTGTGATAACCTATACTCATTGTTTACATTACAGCCAAATGTAAACAATGCTTACGAAGATAAAGACGGTACCCTGGTCATCCTGAGCGTCACGAAACAAGACGCCGGGCCGTATATATGTAGGGCGACCAACGTATTCGGAACAGATACTGCAACGACCACCCTAGTAGTCAAAGGTAAAAGATAGAAGATTTATATGAATTCAACGTTAAGTTTTTTAAGTTTAAAATTCGAAATAATTACGAAAATGTTTTTTTTGAAACTTACGTTCCATGCTACGCCATTTATTTGGATATCAATTTCTAAAAGCTGTTTTTTTATGCTAGTTTGGGGAGGAAAATTAGTCAGTAGCTCCTGTGACCCTTAACTATTTGACCTGTGTAATTTGCTGCTCATACTGATTGTTCGTCCCTTATATTTAGCCAAAATACCAACATGTCCCTTACTGGGTATATTTACACCTGTCTAAGAGCCTACGTGACCCTGATAACATTTGGGTTCTTTTTTATGGAACCACGTGACGAAAACAACATTTTGTTCAAAATAAACATAATGGTATATTTTTTATGAAAAATGAAGACATATTTCTTGAATTGATAATTGCTACCATGTTATAGAAATACATCAATACTTAACAAAAAAAACGGTCCCATTTTGGTTACGCGTTTAGGTGACAAGATATATGATGGATATGTCAGTTCAATATGTCACTGTTAGAGATGCCAGCTACACAGAGGCTTTTACACAAGTAAGTCTAGTATGAACAACAACTATTAAAGCACATTTGTATTTCCCGTATTCAACCTGTTACAGCGTTTCTATTTTGTTTTATTCAATCATTAGATGCAGCCAAAGCAGAGATTGCGACACCACTTGTGGGAGTAAAACCGAACGCGAACAACTTTGCGTTGGACTGCAAAGCTTCTGGGGAACAGCCTTTGAGTGTCAGATGGTTTCATAACGGTCAGATAGTCGCGCAGGATTCCACCCACTACATAATGCCCGACCATACCCTCTTGGTTCTGAGCATGTCCAAACCTCAGGAGTTCGGTCGCTACACGTGCAAGGTTTCTGATGCCAACGGATCAGCGAATAAAACCGCTTTAGGTAGATCCTCATGTTATTGCCTTTCGGACAATCTCGCCTTCTTTCAACGTATTTTAAAGATACCCTTATGCTGATGGCGGCTTCTGTATGCCTTTTTGAATACTCACCTGAATTTATGTCAGCAAGCAGGAAGAATAAATTTTAGAACAAATGAGTTAATTTTAGGCAATTTACACAGGAACTACGAATAATGGTGCATGGATGGTATTTGATAGCATAAGCGTACATTTCTATTCACAGTGTATGATGATAAGGGAGTGAAATCCTGCTCAGCGGCATTCACAACCTGTGAGGTAATATGTGGGTAAGTGGACTGTAGCTTTGGAATTTAAGGTTGATATGGCAGTTCAATATGTTGCCGTGAGAGATGAAGGCTTATATGTTAGTCAAACATAATGTTACTATGATCAATACACTATACTATACGTGAATACGAGAGTGATCATAAGATACCCAATGCCGCACGTTTTTAATTAATTACAGTATGCCCTGAAAGTTTTGCTGCTGTCTAATAATCGCCTTTCTCGTTCTCTGCAATAACGGCGAATGTATGATGACTGCGAATATTAGTAAGAAGTATACTCCGATGTAGAAATAACATGTAAAGGGCGAAATGTACACGGGGTGAAAATGGATTTTACCAATGAAAGGCGAATATTTTACTAAGGGAAAGTTTCCAAAACACAGTATTGTTAATAAATTGATATCAACATGTATAAAACAAACCTTAAAAGTGATTGAAAACAATGAGATAGAGCATTGTATAAATAGTTACAATGAGGGTTATATGCGATCTTATCAGAGTTTCCACATAACATCAGAGGTTAGATAAAACTGTATTGACGAGTTTAAAAATATCCTATTGAGTATCACCGGTTCATTGCAGCGGGAAACAAGATAATTCTTAGGTTGGTTTCGTACATACATTGAATTTTGATAAATTCGTTCAGATAAAATGGGACTGGACAAGGGAAGTAACCGATGATTAGTTAATAATAATTCGAGGTTCGTATATACCTCTTTATCACAACCTAGTTCGTAGGTCGTCTCAAAGCGTATCACAAATTATTATCCGTGGTTATATATGGAGTTGAGCTATGATTGGTTGAGCGACCGTATCTAGAGCGAAGGTTCGGGTTCGAATCCTGATCTGTATATTGCATTTTGGCTTTACTGCTACAACTGGCGCTCAACTCCATATATATATATATATATATATATATGGGGCAAAGAAGAAATTCAAACAGTGTGGACAAGTTTAGGTTGTCAAATTTTCGGAGCGATCCGGTCCTTTTTCGAGACACAATGAAACAGAACAGTTACATGTACATATACATCATATTACAAGAAGATAGAATTGATATACCATAATTGAAAATATAGCTATTATAAAAAACCAATAGTCCCCTCGGCTAAAACAGTCGAAGGCAGCAATTGTTGTCAACGGTGATGTTAAATGTGTTTTAATAACTCGGACTTCTCCTTGACGGAACACTGTGTTGTTAACTGTGTCGGACTTCTCCTTGACGGAACGCTTTGTGTTTTAATTACTCGGACTTCTCCTTGACATAGCACTATGTTGTTAACTGTGCTATTAAATGCGTTTTAACTACTCAGACTTCACCTTGACGGAAACTTTGTTGTTAACTGTGATGGTAAATATGTTTTAATTACTAGGACTTCTCCTTGACGGAAACTTTGTTGTTAACTGTGATGGTAAATATGTTTTAATTACTAGGACTTCTCCTTTACGGAAACTTTGTTGTTAACTGTGTTGGTAAATGTGTTTTAATTACCCGGACTTCTCCTTGACGAAACACTGTGTTGTTAACTGTGTTGTTAAATGTGTTTTAATTACTCGGACTTCTCCTTGACGGAACACTTTGTTGTTAACTGTGATGGTAAATATATTTTAATTACTCGGACTTCTCCTTTACGGAACACTGTGTTGTTAACTGTGATGGTAAATATGTTTTAATTACTCGGACTTCTTCTTGACGGAACGCTTTGTTGTTAACTGTGTTGTTAAATGTGTTATTAAAATGTTTGTTGTAACTACAGAGCCACATGCCCAGCGAACTGTGGGAGTAGCCCGACCCCTGTGTATGGTACATATCGGTACGATTTGGTAAGTACTGTTTAATGGGGAAATGTATTTATTTGTAACGTTGAAAATGGACCATCGTCGAAAATTGAACCGCGGTCAGTTTTTACCGCTTCGAAAAGTAACCAGAAAGCCTTAGAAAAAGGAACCTAATTCAACTTTAATTTTTACATACTCTTCGAAAAAAGGACTGTTGAAAGTGAACAATACAAACATTTGATATATTGATTTAAAATATCAGCTTAGATTATACTTGTGACCTATTTCTCAAACTTGACCTTCACTTAAAACATAGTCGAGATCAGAAATTAACCCAGTATGGGTATTTGACTTAATTAGGTACATGTGTAACTGTAACCTAATTTTGGAATACTGACCTACATCTAAAAATAGTGTCACCCGGTTTAGAAATTGTAATATATTACAGTTGTTTGAAAAAATCACTTAAAATCACATGACCCGACATGAAATGTATAACATAATATCACTTTGGTCCTTCGGACAAGGTGAACTAATGTTATTTGGTACATATCTCGTACGGGTCTGTTATCCAAGGTAGGTTTTCAATGGGCTACACATGTGTTATAGAGTATACACAGGTGTCATAGAGTATACACATGTGTTATAGAGTATAAACACAGTAAACACAGGTGTCATAGAGTATACACAGGTGTCATAGAGTATACACAGGTGTTTGAGAGCGTGCACAGGTCATGCATGGGTTACTTAGGTACAATACAGTAAACACATGTGTTAGTTTACACAGACAGTATAAGTAAACACAGCTTTTATTGATTTATCGGTCATCTGTAACTTTTCACTGCAACTAAATAACTGTGAATGTTTGAGAGTTCTTTTTAGTGTAAACCTGTTGCCAAATTCCATTTTAAACAATACAAATTTGTTCATAATTTACACAATGTAACTGGTGAAGTGTTCCGTTTGCAGCTTTCTTCTCCGTTTAGTTCACGTTCGATAGTTAACTGAATAAAGGTTGTTTCCTTTGCAGAGTTCATCACTCTGTAAGAGTGGTATCCACAGCGGGTTCGTTCAACCATCCGGCGGAACGGTTGTCTGGCAGACAACACAACAACAGACGCCGTCGTACAGTGGTTCATCCAAGTATGGGGTGACCAGTCAGAACCTTGCGTAAGTATTGAGGTCTCAATCTTCATGACGTCCTGTAACCTTCTTGGACTTATTTTTTTCTATCTCCGTTATGGAAGCTGTTTAACTGCGTTTCAATGCCTGGTTGGCTGAGACAGTTACAGATACGACTCGAGTTCAATCAGACCGACTTTACTTTTACAGAGTGATAAATAGACAGCACATTTTATGTCAACTCTCCAACTTTAAGTTTCGAAATTCCTGATGGCTGCATTTGCGCCTTATTGACTGAAACAACCATGGTTATAATTCAAGTTATTTTTAGCCGATTTGTTCATACTTGATCGGATTGATTAGGACTGTATCATCCAAATTTCCTAGATATATGATGACCGCAATACAAAGTTGAAATATTTTCGGGCTCGTTCGAATAAGAATTTTGCTTTGTATTATTTGTGACTGTAGAGATAGTTAGGGGGAATTTTATTCCCATTTGTTAACAGAGCCTATACATTTACACTGCGAAAGCTCTCGGTAGGTACCTTGCCGTGACTAGGCCGTGACTAGTCCGTGACTAGCTACATCCGGCAGTGTTATAAACGTAGAATGATACCCGTGGATAACATTAATATACCAGAATTGAATCCGGGAGTGTATCTAATGTCGTAAACCTATTTCATTTTGGGTCTGTATTATTTTCTGTGTTTTGTTAAGAAAACATGAAACACGCACATTTTAATTTGTTCCTATCATTAGAAAGAGAACATTTTTTTGTATACTGTATGTAAATGGTTGATATCCCCGGTATAATTGCATCCAGTACAATGGCTTGACACTGGCGGAACTTTTTATTATATTCGGTGTTATACAGTAGTTTGCTTTAAGTATCAGGAATCTTACAGAAACAAGGTACAGAATGTAACCAGTGACAAAAAGCTAACGGTGTTTAGGTTGTACTGTTTACTTACCCCGTCCTTGTCTATCCCACTGTAGAACCTCAGATTGCCAGCGTTTAACACCGTTGACTTATATTACAAACATATTCAAGTCAAGTTAATTTTATTTAAAGAGTGTCATATATCACAATTATATTGATACATTTTTAAAATGATATACAGTTACATGGCATAAAACAGAGAGTTAGATAGCAGTGAGCAATTAATTTATATTAAATATTGTTATGATATGCAGCATACTAATATATTGACCTAAATCATCACAAATAACAGCCAAGGGAGCAAGCAAGTGATCGCGACAGCCCCTACCTAGCAAAGCATTAAAACGGCTTGTGAAGTAATAGCAATACAAATACAGATATTCTACATACACTCATGGTAGCCTACGTATTAGCTTCTGTGTATGTATCACATCTACTACACCAATGAAAGTATTAACTACTGTTGTGTTAAAACAGATCCATTTTCTTTCATCAGTACTCTTTTTATTTCACAGCCCAGCAACCTCTGCGTTCGATGGTGTCCCAATTACGAATTGAAGGCAGACATACTAAATAATAAGTATCATTTATGATGGTGAAATATTATATAATAAAAACGTTTTTGTAATATGTTGTCAGTGTTTCTGTTTTCTACTCGACATTATACAATGATATTTTGCTTTGGTCAATATATCTTTTTTCAGATTCATATCACATCATATTGACCAGCACAAACGTCCAAACCCTATACGCTTCAACAATAAAATGAAAGTCTCAAGGTTCTGACGAATCGGTTGATATTCACTTGAAAACCGATCTGCATGAGTTTTCAGGACTGGTCACGTGTATGGGAGGCAGCCAATAATGACTGCGAGTAATGATCAAGTTTATGGTAAAATTTGTTGAGGAATTTCTGTCGTATTAATACTACTTCAATGAGTACTTCATTGAGGCTTGCTTACAACTTCAATGGCATGGTTAAATGAAAAACGAACACATGTATATAGATACACATACCAAAGCACCACCAAGAATGAAACCATAGTTAAGGTTACAATACAGTTACAGTTATCTGTGAATGTAAATCAAATCAATAACAAATAAATTTGACTTACATTGGATGTATGTTTGGAAAAAAACATGATTTAACTTGACAGTTAAAAGCAATGGTTCGATGACAAATGACAGCGTGGTGTGCTGTAAGACATCGATAACAAAAGGGAAATGCATGGTCCTGTCTACATTATATGTCGATAGTATTCATTAAGTATAGGTTCTTATTGCTTACCTAACACCCTTTATCAAAACATGTCATATCGTCTATACGAAGATTGATAATATTTAACGTCAGTAACACTGGGCGATAAAACAAACAGAAAACAGTTCTAATGATTAGGTCGATTGCATAATGATTGCTCTCATCTTTATTCGTACTTTTACATATTGACATTAAATCATTGGTTTTCGAACCTAATTATTCCATTTTTGTTTACATATCCCTGCAGTTTCAGGGAAAGAATAGACCTACTACATGTCATAAAAGGCGATTTGTTTGTGGCCCCTGCATAATCAGGATTTTTCTGCTAAGTGGACATGGAGCATAGAAGAATTAATTTGTTGCTCCGTTGCATTGTTTGATATCGTTATATTTTCTCTTACTTCATAACAACCTTTGTGTTACCTACTCTAAAGTCGGCATCAGATCCGCGCTGTCGATTGTGACGTCACTTGTTTGTGAGAGTAACGTCATCCATTTTTGAGAAAACGACGTATTTTTCTCACACAAACCAATGACGTAACAATCAATACCTGCTCCCAAGAGAAGATAACTCTGCAATACGCAAAGACGGAATACACCTTAAAACCGTTAATCCTAGTGAAACCAAACATCCCAAAGACTATATTATGGTATATCTGGTATACGCGGAAAATGACGATATTAAATTCAGTCGTATCAACAACTGACAGTAAATAAGTAGCCCAATATCGCTCCGGGTACTGTATTAGATAAAGCAGAAGTACATTTTGTCTTAAATACCGCAATATTGACGACTTATCTATTCATCAACACAACATATTGAATGTAAATAATTAGATACAAGTTCTAACTTCTGAGATAGTATAGGGATTGGGGAGTAAAGTCATATGCTTTAATCTGATCAATATATTGGCGGATTGGTCGAGTGGTTAACACTCCGGCCTTCCACACAGGCGCCTGGGGTTCGATCCCCAAAGTCGTCGTTCCCATGGATATTCAGAGAAAGTGTTTTTCTCCTCCCCACACTACTCCAACAACCCAGGTGGAGTATACATTGGTCTGGGGTGGATGTTGCGATATCTGTGTTGTAGCATTCAAGTGAGTTGGCACTATAACTGATGCCGTTGGAAGCACGGTCCCACTACAAACGTAACACATTATATATCCAGCACACACGCAGGCATACACACATAGGGAGATATAGCCAGCTGGCATAGGACTAGAAGTTAGCGCCTGATAAGGCAGCTCCTGCAAATTCCTCCAAAAATTGTATGATTAATGTATATGCTAATTGCATTATTTGTATATATATGTATTGTAAAGCACTTTAAAGTGGCTTATGTTAGTTAGATAGGGCGCTATACCAAATGCTGTATATAATTAAAAATAAATAAATATGTGATCCATTTTAGTACAAATGTGTATAATAATCCTTTAACTATATGGAACGTCAGCCTGCTGATATAGTAATTGCAGTCTGCACATTATCTGGTCACATGACCACGATTTGTGTGACGTCAGTGTTCGTAACCACTCCCATCGTTACAGCGACGTCCTAAATTTGTACGATAGCCGCCATCTTGTTGATGTCGTTTGGTTATACAAGTCGCATTTTGGCGGGTTTTGCAGACAACGAAAATATCTAGAATAAAAAGGTAAGTTCTTACTTTTGTATTAGAATGTTCTGCACATATAATTAGAACATTTAAATGCATTTAACAGTTGTTGCCTGGTTACATGTGTATGAGTGTATGAGAGTGTACTTTGCTTGGGGTTGTGAATACATTCACATGTGTGAGAGTGTGTATGTACTGTACTAGGGTTGTGAATACATTCAGATGTGTGAGAGTGTGTACGTACTCTTCTAGGGTTGTGAATACATTCAGATGTGTTAGAGTGTGTACTTTGCTGGGGGTTGTGAATACGTTCAGATCTGTGAGAGTGTGTACGTACTCTTCTAGGGTTGTGAATACATTCAGATGTGTGAGAGTGTGTACGTACTGTTCTAGGGTTGTGAATGCATTACGATGTGTGAGAGTGTGTACTTTGCTCGGGGTTGTGAATACGTTCAGATGTGTGGGAGTGTGTAGTACTCTTCTAGGGTTGTGAATACATTCAGATGTGTGTGAGTGTGTACTTTGCTTGGGGTTGTGAATACATTCAGATGTGTGAGAGTGTGTACTTTGCTTGGGGTTGTGAATACATTCAGATGTTTGAGTGTGTGTACGTACTCTTCTAGGGTTGTGAATACATTCAGATGTTGGAGAGTGTGTACTTTGCTAAGGGTTGTGAATACGTTCAGATGTGTGAGAGTGTGTACGTACTGTACTGGGTTTGCAATATATTCTTTGTGTTATGCGTTCACACATCTAAGAGCGGCTCATCATATTTTTTTCAAACTTTTTTATTTTATTTATTTTTATACAGCTCTTTCTGTTATTGGTGTATACATTCTATTTTTATGTTGGAGAGGATAGAGATCTTTACTGACTAACTGTCTACACCTGTCTTCAGTGAATTTCGAAAGCGTCGGCTAACTTCAGACTACATATAATGTTGTAACGGACTACATCCGTCCTCAGTGAATTGCGAAAGCGTCGGCTAACTTCAGACTACATATACTGTTGTAGCGACCTACACCCATCTACAGTTCAATGAAGCAGTGTCGGCTTACTTCAGTCTACATATTTTGTTGTAACGGACTATATTTATTTACAATTAATTAAGGGAATGTCGTCTTACTAAGTCTACATATTTTGTTTTAACGGATTACATCCGTCTACAATTGATTAAGGGAATGTCGGCTTACTTAAGTCTACATATTTTGTTTTAACGGACTACATCCGTTTACAATTGATTAAGGGAGTGTCGGCTTACTTTAGTCTACATATTTTGTTGTAACGAACTACATCCGTCTTCAATTGATTAAGGGAGTGTCGGCTTACTTTAGTCTACATATATTGTTTAACTGACTACATCCGTCTGCAATTGATTAAGGGCATGTCGGCTTACTTTAGTCTACATATATTGTTGTAACGGACTACATCCGTCTACAATTGATTAAGGGAATGTTTGCTTACTTTAGTCTACATATATTGTTGTAAAGGACTACATCCGTCTACAATTGATTAAGGGAGTATCGGCTTACTTCAGCATACATATAGTGTTGTAAAGGACTACATCCGTCTACAATTGATTAAGGGAGTGTCGGCTTACTTTAGTCTTCATATAGTGTTGTAAAGGACTACATTGTCTACAATTAATTAAGGGAGTGTCGGCTTACTTAATCAACATTTGTTAAAGAAGCGACCTCTATCCGTCCACACTTACCTGTAGGAGCGTATTGCTTCTATCTACACCTCTGTCGTCCTTACTCGCTTTAACGTTGACAGATTGGTGTGATTACTCATAGGACAGACCTGAAGTCGTTTAATCATTCATTTGCTTTGGTCTCCACAAATGTGATGGTTTAAAGATATTTCATTGATAATGGTATAACGGACATTATCAAAATCGAATCTTTAAAATCATTTGTCAGTCCTAAGATTAGTACTAATTAGTATTCTGATGATTTAACTGAGCCTTTTCCAACGCCTTCATTCCCTTGATAATTTTGTGTTAAAACAAAACAAAATAAAACAACAGGACAGTTTTAGCTATGCGTCGATGAAGATATTTAACAGAAACTTGCTACAGACATATTTCATCTATACTCCTCAATGATGTCGTGAGTACCGTTAAACGCATATTTACTGATATATTGGGGTTACACGACTTCTTTCGCCCTAAGTCATCATGGATTTATCAATAATGTGTATAGTTTTAATGTTCTGCACACGCGGACTTTGCGCATCCTCGTTTGCACATGTACGTAGCGTTTCCATGGTGGAGTACACTGATAACTTACTTATAACTTACGACAATAAAACAAACTATGTGGACTGTGCCAAGGTTTGTAAAACAGACTGTGTGTCCTTTGCCTATGACCCGAAACAAAGGAATGCAAGACATTCGCCAAGATGTTTTGTCAAAATATCACCGAATCGAAATCTCCAAGCGTTATGATGTTTGCGAAGTTGAATAGGGAGCTTACCAATAGAGAGTCAACATTATTCTATGGGGACTATCTATATTTGTAAATAAGTTACACTATCGCATTGTTTGAAACTGGAAGGGAAAGTTCTGATTTGATATTAATTGTTTTCTTTCGCAATTGGTCAATTTGAAATAAAGAAACACGACCACAATGTATCGACCATTTGATTAGATGGTGTTGTATATGAGCTACGTGTCGTAATTGTAATACGTAGTAAATGTAATACTTGGTTGATTTTCATCCACATTCTTGCCTTCACGTATTTATGCAAGGTACATA